TTTTGGTAATGTTGATGCCTAGTAGATGGATTATGGCTTTAAGAGCCTCGTGGTGCAGTGGTTAAACTGCTGTACTACAGCTAAAACTGTGCTCACGACCCAGGGTTCAATCCCAAGTAGCCGGCTCAAGGCTGACTCAGCCTTCTATCCTTCCAAGGTTGGTAAAACGAGCACTCGGCTTGTGGGGGGGGGCAATGTGTAGCCTGCATAAATAACTTGTAAACCGCCCAGAGCTTCAAGCACTATGGGGCGGTATATAAGCAGCACACTTTGCTTTTTAAAAAATTCCTTACTTGGAATGAATGATAGGAAATTCTCTTGGCAGGGATATAAGTAAGGTGCTGTGTTACGTGTTCATGGAAGATAGAGAGAGAGATTCTCATTTTGTAGTTTTACTTAAATCACTGAGCGACAACTTGTAAACCGCCCAGAGCTTCAAGCACTATGGGGCGGTATATAAGCAGCACACTTTGCTTTTTAAAAAATTCCTTACTTGGAATGAATGATAGGAAATTCTCTTGGCAGGGATATAAGTAAGGTGCTGTGTTACGTGTTCATGGAAGATAGAGAGAGAGATTCTCATTTTGTAGTTTTACTTAAATCACTGAGCGACTAATGAGTGGACAGATGGAGACTTTAATAAATCAAGATTTACTGGGATCACCAGCCAAAATAGGACTTACTTTTGCAGAATTTGGATAAAAAAATAATAATGAGTGGACAGATGGAGACTTTAATAAATCAAGATTTCATAAACTGGGATCAACGTTTGGATAAGGACAGGATCATTAACTGCCTGGAAATCTGGCACAGAATTAGCTGTTGAGCTGCCCATCACTAACTTGAGTTACGAGTTAAATATTTATTTAAAAGGTATTCTGAAGAAAGTTCTAAGATTGATTCCTTTTCAGTTCCCCATGAATACTATTCCGCCCCCCATGGCCCCGGCTGTTTGCTGTTTACCCTGCACTGCTCAATAAAAGAACAGAGTTGAATGCCAAGTCTAGAACAAGAAATGTATCCATTCACAGAAATGTGAGTCTGTGCCTGTGATATCTGAAGTCCATAGCCAGCTACAGGATTCATGTAGTTTTGTTTCTTAACTTCCTCCCTCCCATGCGCCCCATGCTTGCCATATTCCATCCTCTTCATTTTGGTGGGTCAGAGTTCTGGAGGGGCAGGCCTCCCACTAGGGTGCAGTCTCTGATCCTGCACACATTGGGCCCATTTTAACGGAAATTCAAAACTCTGGAATAACAGGCTGGGTAATTTTCTTTAAAATCTTTGGTGTTTCAAACTAAGGACTATTCTAAGCTCTATAAGACTTAGTACAGTCTCTTATCAGAGATCTGCCTGGCACCCTCGCTGGGTGTTTTTAAGACCCAACTTAAGACCTGGCTCTTTAGGCAGGCCTTTCCTCCTGTCAATACTTGATCTTTGCTTTTCTATTGGAATTTTCATCTTTTAAGAGCCAACTTAAGACCTGGCTCTAGCACCAATATTCCTATTGTAAGCCGTCCAGAGTAGACGTGGTCTAAATGGGCGGAATATAAACAAACAAACAAACAAACAAACAAACAAACAAAATAACTAGTATTTGCACTTGTGTGACTGCATCTGTGTGTGTAAAAAAATCTATCATTTGAGAAAACGATATTTTCTTTCCTTTGCCACATATAAAAGCTGCCAAAGACACACTGGTGTCTAGTCTGGTTTTCTTAAAGTGCTACCATAACAATAATTTCAACTGCACAATGGAATTTTTCACTTGTGTTGGAAAAGGAGGGAACTGTCCTCTACTGTCAAGTGCTTTGCAGAATTTGTATTAGATCTATAACACAATAAGGTCGCACACTGTCCATCTGACATTTTATACTGAATCTAAAAGAGAGCCAAACCTTTATTTGTCTGCATGTGTAACTTGCAAAGGAAACTGTGTCTAACAGGAAATGCAAAGACCAAACATGAATTTCTAATATGGTATTGTGAATCTAAGTCATCTTGCTGCAAAGTGCAGAAGAAAGGAGTATGAAATTCCATTACAAATAATGCTAAAAATACAGTCCTGCCCATTTTAAATCTTTAGTGCATTACTTGATTTAATGTATCGATATGACTAATGTAAATCAAAGTTATTTTAAATATTAAAAGTATTCCTGAAAGCATTGTTCTTTGATATCACCACCACCACCATCATCTATACTGCACTCTACCCCAGAGTGCATTTCAATAAGATCAATAATATAAACATTCTGGAGAGCTATGGAAACACAGTCCAGCCAACCATCACCAGCATATTCAAGTCACATTAGTTGCAAAGGGAAAGTTGGGCATGAACTTAAACATTTCCTGTTAAAATTAAGGGGCTCCCAAAATTAGTACATTGCACTTGCATCATGTCCAATAGAAGAAACTAAGCCCTATACTTCTAGTTTTCACTTCAGTAGCTCAATTTTGTTGTGATTCTGTGGTTCCTGTGACCATAGATGGGTATTGTCCGAAGCTCAAGCATGGAAGGAAGTGAAAAGCAATACAACTGTCTGTCTGTCTGTCTCTCTCTCTCTCTCTCTTTTTCTCTCTGTCTGTCTGTCTGTCTGTCTGTCTGTCTGTCCGTCCGTCCGTCCGTCCGTCCGTCCGTCCGTCCGTCCGTCCGTCCATCCATCCATCCATCCATCCATCCATCCATCCATCCACACACAGTATATGTATTCCTCCTGCAGGAACCAAATTTGTGTGTGCCATGGGTTGCTAAAGCAATGTTGTTGTTATATGGCATCATGTCACTTCCATCTGGTAACCTGAGCTGGACTCAGTACCTTAGCTAAGAAAAGACAGGCCACTGGATTTTAAGATTTAGTACTTGCAGCAGTTACTTTAAAATGGTCCCTTTGATGTACAAGATTTTCAAGCCTTCTGCCTGCTGTCAAAAGTGGATTATTTAGTGATGGATAGCAGATGTTTGAAGTGAAAAACACAGTGAGATTTTTCTTCTTCAACTGTTGTATAATTCCTATCTGTCGGGGATTTGAGTGTCTTTAGAATACAGAACAGCAGTGTGTAATCCTGATTCTGCAGACTATTTCCATTGTGAAGAACATGGGCTGCAACTAAATGTTTTATACCATCTCTCATGTCTGTGAAAAGTTAAAGTTTCAAGGACACTATGAAATCCCACAAGGTTCCCTTGTAACTTGTCTTCCCTTTTGTCATCTGAAACCTGTTTTTTAATTTTACTGGCAAGTGATCAAGGCACAAAACATTTAACTGATAACAAGACTAGCGAAGATACAGGCAGACTGATATCAAACAAGCTATCAGAGCATACATCTGAATGCAACTTTTCTCTGCCAAGGATTAGATTCTCTTGCAAGTAATCTATCAGGGATTAAAGCAGAATTGAAGCCAACAGTAGGCAAGGCTAAAGTGAGTGGATAACCTACTCCTTCCTTCCTTCCTTCCTTCCTTCCTTCCTTCCTTCCTTCCTTCCTTCCTTCCTTGTTTTCAGGGAAGGAGCAGATAGTTGCTTAGAGGTCTCATTGGATCAATCGCAGAGACCTTCTGAAATTGTGCTGAGGGCTGCATGAAACTCTACGGCTATAGGTTATCCATCCCAGCTGAAATCAAAACCACACATTAGAAATTAGAGGCCACACTGAAGTACATTGCATATACTTCCACTGAACAACCTGTTTCATACAAAACAAATAGGTATTTTTGTTTCACATGGCGAGCTGGCCACAAGTAGCCCCTTCTCCACACTGCAGAAATACATGGTAAAATAATAAATACACAGTGCAGTTATTATTGAAATGACAGCTATGGACAATAAAGACTTTCTTAGTTAAGCTGCTGCTAAGATGCAAATTGTGTGAAAATCCACTGTTTGATTCCATAGGGAGTGATAAGTGCCATTAATTTCTTCTGCCACCATTTGTGTCCATGTTATGGGTTGCACCTCAGCATCACTGATGGGGAATTACCCATTTTGCAGCAACTAAAGAACACCTATGCAACAAACTCTAAGAGTCAGTGTTGGTACAAATCAGCGGTGTCAGTCCATAGCAATTTTTGAATGGTCCCTGCGGGACAACATTAGGCGAGTACTATAGGGAGACCTTTTACTGAGTTGAGCATCAATCCATCTACCTCAGCTCTGATTTCACTGACTGATGGTAGCAGGTCTGCAGGAGTCTTTCCCAGCTCAAGTTGGAAATGAACAGTCAGCCTTGAACAAATTTAATCCACCAATGAGCAATAGGTATTCACTTAATACTATCTGACAAGGTGTAGATAGGGACGAGAGAGTGATGCATTTCAGACAACCTGATAAGTTTATGAACTGGGATCTTGCTGAATGGTAGCTCATTCTCACTGTGATCATGGTACTTCAGTCCTTGGCTCAACTATTTTCTCTGTTATTGGGCAAAACAACAAAAACAAGAAATAAGAAACGTTCCGGCCTCCGATGGCCTTGTCTATCTGGATTTCAGTGGGTCATATCCAGTCCAGAAGAATGAGAACCATTCTTTCACCTGAAGAAAGAACAGAATTCCTCTCTTGCATGCAGTCCCCTAGCTGTGATCTGCATGGCGGGGACCGCTTTGAGCAGACATGGGGTAGGGGGTTACACTGGAGAGGACAGCAAGAGGAAGTCCATTGAATGAATACAAGCTTATTCTCATGATCTTGGACAGAACCCAAATCCAGCAAATCTTGAAAAAAAAATCCTGACATTTAAGCATGGCCTATAACTAAAATCATCACAGGGCTGGTCCAAGTAGTTCACCCATTTATTTGCCTCAGCTGTGAAATGTCAGTGAATTTTCAAGCTGTCTTCCCTAGCTTTAAACACAGCATGATGTCTTTGCTACATTGTTAGTAGACGGTGATGGTGGTAAATGTGGGGATAAAAAAAAGAATAACTCCTATCCAAGCAGAAGATCCTCAGCACAAAACAATATTTCTTCTCTTTTCAGGGCTAGTTTCTCCATTTCACTTACCTGTTTGAGATAAAAGTGGTGTATAAGGGACTTTCGGTTCTATTGCACTCATTGGCGGAGGTAGCAAGGGGTTGGCAAAGCTGCGAAGAGGATGCGTGGGGCGGACGCATGCTGTGGGAATTGTCCTGCTAGGGGCATCCTCACTGGTGGGATGTTCAGGCTGTGTCTGTGGTAACATGGAGGTCTGCTGAGGGGCTGGTGCTTCACTCACCGCTGCAAGCAGATCAAAAGAAAGAAGGAAAGTGTAACTTCTCTGAAAGACCCTTGACTTAGCTGATGTGGAAAAATACATTGTATGTAATACAAATAATAATGTAATTGTAAAACAGTGCATACAAGTAATGGCTGAAATCCTTCTGCTTAGCATTATTAGTTGCATTAGAGGAGGCTCATTGGAGATTTGGTGAGTCAACTGCTCTGTAAGTTCCATTGATTGAAACAGGTGTGATTTTAGGGTTGTGAGTCACAATTAGTGCCGGCCCATTTGACTCAATAGAATTTACAGAAGAGGTGACGCACTAAATCTCCACTGATTCAGGGGGCTTAACTCTAGTGTGACCTACTATGTTAAACAACAGGATTCTAGCCAATATAGCAATAAGGGACAATATCAGTGCAAGATGATAAATACCTGCACAAAGTCATGTCTTTAAACACAATTCTTCAGCACAGCTCTACATGAAAATACAGTGGTGCCTCGCAAGACGATTGCCTGGCGGGACAATTAACCTGCAAGATGATTAGTTTTTGCGATCGCTGTTGCGCTTCGCAAGACGATGGTTTCCTATGGACGATTTTCGCAAGACAACGATTTTTCCCCATTAAAAAGATTTCAATGCATTCCAAGGGGAAACCTCGTTTCGCAAGACGATGTTTTCACAAGACAGCATTTTTCACTGAACGAATTAACATCATCTTGCAAGGCACTACTGTATGTACTTCCTGCTTATCTTTTACCCAATTTGTTGAACCCAATGCCTTGGGCTTTTTCAAGGACCTGAGAATTCCTTCTAGTGCCATGGCTGGATTTTCTTTATGATTTTTGTCACTCACCTTAAAGAACACGGTATATAGACAGAGATAAGGATAAAATGTACCACAGTGGAAAAACACGTTGGAAAAGCTGTCAGTTACTCCTTCTTAGGAGTGACATCTCCATCTATAGCTTTTGACACACTGTTCATGGGTGGTGTATTGAGGATGTTCAGGCCAATATGTTCCTCAGACATATACCTGGACTCAGAAACAGTTAGTGAGCAGGGCTGAGCAGGGTTGTTGAGGACGGGACATTTCGGAGGTCTCTCATTCATGCGGTTGCTGTAAGTCAGAGGTGACTTGATGGCACATAACAACATCAGTAATGCAAACCTTCCAGAAAGACCAGAAAGATTTCAGCTGATATTTGAGGGAAAATACATAAAAGATTAAGTATAACACCTGTCACTAAAGAAGACAGTGACACAATCTTCTGTAAATTGGTTTCTTTGTGCAAACCGCCATGGCATTATGATAAGTGCATCTTCTGATGAGGGTTGTAGGCAAAGGGGTCGCTTAATTAATTTCTGTTTAAATAATCACCAGTCCCATTTTTATTTTTTGACAGCTGTAATACTGCCAGAGCTGACACTTTCTGCTTTATTACCTTAGAACCAGAATAAATTTTCTATGATCTGAATATGCCACATTAGATGTGAGCAGATAAACTGAGGTTACCCTATTGTCTATAATCTTATTTATAGAAGAGGACTCTCTAGAACAATCTGTGCTCTTTCAGCTCCCAATAAAAGACTCAGTGCCAAAGCAGAAACATGAACTGAACTGGCACCTTCATCCTAGACATGAAATCAATGCGCTCTGTTTCCCCACAATGCCCACTGCATATGCAATGCAATTGCTGGTGATAATGCTGCTGCTGCATAGGAGGAATGTGAATTTTGCTCCCTAAATGGGATTGGACCTCATGGTAAAAGGCCAAATTATTTCACCCTTAACTCATAAATCTTAGCAAAGATCATAACCCTGAGGCAGAGCATGTGCTTTGCATGCATATATTGAAGACCTTAGATAGGCCCTGTAAAGTTCAGACTAAAAAACTGAGCTAGTTCTCTCCCAAAACCAAAGCCACCAGCATCCACTTCTTTGTTTTGAACAATATTGTTAATTGTTATTATTATGACTTGTTGTGAACTTTTATTAATTTTTTAATTTTTCAGGTCTTTTTTCTTTCTTTTCTTCCCTTCTGTTTGACATGGAGTGGAAGGCTTGTCCCCCCCAGTGGAAGTTCTCTGAACATTCGAGGTATTATGGGCAGAGGAAGACATGGTGATGGCACAGTGCCTACTCAGTTCAGAAGAACAGTGAACAGATGTTTGAAGGCTGTTCACGGGGGGTCTGGGACTGTGACCGACCACCCGTCAGACTGGAGGCAGCCAGATCAGCCATCCCTCCACTCTATAAATCTTGAATGCCAGATTTGTATCCAACAAGTACCAGATTATTCAAGACCTTATTCTGGAGGAGGATGCAGATTTGGCATGCATAACCAAAATTTGGATGGGCAGGGAAGGGGGTGTTCCCTTGATTCTTGCCTGTTCCCCCACTTATGCAGTCCAACCCCAGGGTAGACTGGAGGGTCGGGGGGAGTAGCCATTGTTTATAGAAATACTCTAGAAGTTGTAAGGTACTCGGTGGTGGTGATGCCAGGTCTTGAGGCCCTCCACGTATCTATTGGAGCCAGGGATAATATTGGGATCTTGCTGGGTTACCACGCTCCCCGGGACCCAGCCACTCCCTTACCGGAGCTGGCAGACTTCGTCTCCGTGGCACTGTTGGAAACCCCGAGGCTTGGGTGATTTCAACATCCATGCGGAGCGGAGGTTTGTGAATTTCAACATCCATGCGGAGGCGGAGGTTTGTGGTCTGGCTCTTGAGTTCTTTAAAACCATGGCTTCCTTGGACATGTCCTGATATGTTAACAGCCCCACTCACATGGGCTGTCACACATTCGACCTGGTGTTCTCCACCAAGTGCAGTGAGTGTGGTCTGATGGGGACTGACCTTGTGTCGGTCCCCTTGCTATGGTTGGATCTTTGCCTAATAAAATCCAACCTCTCAGTGGCTCTCCCTCCCCGCAGGGAGCAAGGACCTATTTCAATGGTCCGCCCTCAAAGGCTACTGGATCCTATAGGATTCCAGGATTCTATGCGAGGGATTCCAGCTAATCTGACTGGTGCTCCTGTTGAGGCTCTGGCTGATGGCTGGCTTGCCGCTGCCACCAGGGTTGTCAACATGATTGTTCCTAAACACCCTCTCCAATGAAGAGCTCGTCCAGTGCCCTGGTTTAACTAGCAGTTGCGAGCTATGAAGCAATACAGGAGAAGGCTAGAGTGCATTTGGAGATGGAAACCAACGGAATATAAATGGAAAGCTGTCAGGATCATGACTAACCATTACCTTACTAGGGTGAGGGTTGCCAGTCAAGTTCACTTTGCTATCCACATAAGTGAAGCTTCTAATCAGTAGGCGGAACTTTTCTGTATAGTCTGGGGTCTATCTGGAGTTGGTCACAGTGATTGGCCTCCCACTAGCATCTCACCTGACCAATCTGCAGCATTTTTAAAATCTAAAGTAGAAGCCAACTAAGTCTTACCCCCTATTTGAAAAGAGTAGATCGAGCAGAGACGTCCAGCAGTCCACCTTTCAGCATGAGATGTAATCATTTTCTGCCTGTGACGTCAGATATGGTGGACAAAGTGCTTGACTGCTGTCATGCCACTACCACCTCCCTTGACCCTTGCCCAGCCTAGCTAATCAAAGCAGCCAGGCCTGTAACAACTGAATGGGCCACTGCAATAATTGATGAGTTTCTCCAGGACGGCAAGGTTCTCTTGCCCTCAAGGGGACACTCATTAGGCCCGTTAAGAAGAAACCAAGTTCGGCGGTGGACGATATTGGCAGTGATAGGCCCATCACCAATGTTTCCTTTCTTAACAAAATGGTAGAGAGGGTGGTGGATGACCAGCTCCAGGCCCTTTTGGATGAAACCAATGAAGTGGATCCATTACAGTCAGGCTTCAAGCCATGCCACAGCACAGAAACGGAATTGGTTGCCCTGTTTGATGACCTGTTGAGGGTGTCCAATGGGGGCAAAATGTCTCTGTTGGTCCTCCTTGCTATCTTTGCCGCCTTCGATACAGTCAACCACAGAATCCTCCTGGGAGGCTCTCCAAGTTGGGAACTGATGGTCTGGCACTTGCCTGGCTCCGATCTTTCTTGGATGACTGTCCTCAGAGAGTACAGCTTGTAGAGTGTGTCTCGGCCCCATGGAGTCTCAATTGTGGGGTTCCACAGGGCTCGGTTATCTCCCCAATGCTGTTTAATATGTACATGAGGCCACTGGGTGGGGTCATCAGGGGATGTGGGGCTTTGTGTCATCAGTATGCTGAGGACACTCAGATCTACATCTCCTTTTTTTCAACAACAGTGGATGCCGTTTTGTCCCTATAGTACTGCCTGGAGGTTGTACTGCAATTCCAACAACAGCGGATGCCGTTTCATCCCTATAGCACTGTCTGGAGGTTGTACTGCAATGGATGTAGGAGAATGGACTGAAGCTGAACCCAGACATGATGGAGGTCCTAAAAGTGGATGGCCCCACCACCATCAGTGGTTTGGGAACCTCCCTCTCTTTTGGGGGAGCAACTCTCACCATGAAGAGTGAGGTTCGCAGCTTGGGAGTCCATCTGGATCCGGTGCTTACCATGGAAACCCAGGTGGCGTCAGTGGTCCACTCCACCTATTTCCATCTCAGGCAGATTGCTCAGAGCGCCCCTATCTTGATGTCAGGGTGCTCACCACTCTGGTCCATGTGCTTGTAGTCTCGATATTAGACTACTGTAATGTGCTCTATGTGGGGCTACCTTTGAGATTGATGTGGAAGCTTCAAATGGTGCAGAACATGGCGGCCAGACTTCTCACTGGGGTGAGAAAATATCAGCATATTTCCCCCACTCTGGCTGCCTTGCACTGGCTGCCTGTTCGCTTACGCATTGATTTCAAAGTGTTAATGATGACATATAAAGCCCTAAGTGGTTTAGGGCCTCAATATTTAGCGGAACGCCTCCTCCCACCTAGATCTACCCGAATCACTCATTCTAGCCAGGAAGGGCGGCTGAGGGGCCTAAGGCCGAGGGAGGCCCAGAGAGAAAGAATAG